TACAAATGGTTACAGCAACAAGCAATCTGAGCATAAGGATGGAGTTTACATATGCCAAAAGCTCTGTGGTTTTAAGGGGATATAAATAAATATAAATACAAGCTGTCTTACATGAAGAAGTTATTAAAGCTGAACTACAGGCAAAACAACTAAATATACAGTTAATACACATATATTGTATGTGAATTGTCTTCCCTGGCAAGAGACTTGTAATCCTATACTGTCAGTCTTGTGATCCAAGCATACCTACCTGAGAGTGTAGTCAGGACCTGGACCTCATATTCTTCTGCTACAGTTAAAGTGACATTAAAAGGCAAATTTTTTTTCCTCCCTCTCCCACATGCTGCTTTAAGGACTTACCTTAAATGCTGCCTCTTGATCCGATCATCATCTTCCTTCCATTTGTTTTCCGAAATCCCTCCAGCGCTGGTGCCGGTCTCTGATCCAGCATAGACTCCTTGTGTCCGACGGTGTCTGTCTGGCATGCACGCTCACGGCTGCGTACATTGACTCTCACTGTGTCCCTCATTCTTTTTTATTTTTTTAAATTCTTTATTTTAAGTTTTCATATAAAACAGACAATTACAATAAGAACATAGTTATCAGACAGAGCATTTCACATAGTGATAGTTTTAAAGTTGCAAAATAACAAACTGTAGTAGAACACAAACCCCAAAGGTTACAAATATCAAGGCCGCAAAAGCAAGCGTGTGAGGTTCAAGAGCTATGGAGCACGGTTAGCATAAAAAACCTTACTAACAGTCAGTGTAATAATTCAGGATAGGTAAGTCAAGGTAAATGTTATACGCTATCCATCAGTTTGTCACCCTGAAATCAGAGAGGAGAACACAGGGAGAAGAGTAGGGGAAGAGGAAGTGTAAGAAAAAACAGAAACACAAACGAGTACATGAAAGACAGAGACCCAGACAATGACCCATACAGGTATTAAGGGAAGATACAGACAGATACCAGGGAAAGAGATGACCTGAACATGACCCTGCGGGGAGAGATCGCCCCTAGGGCAAATAGGCGAGTCATTCCACCATTAGTTTACCACATTCTGGGAGTAGAGGTATTCCAGCCATTAGAACCAAGTTTTCCGGAACTTTCTATCTGCATGGTGCAGAGTTGCAGTCATCTCCTCCATTACTCAGATCCCATCAACCTTTTGAAGCCACGGTTTTACTGATGGTGGCTCTGTACTCTTTCAGCACAGTCCTGGCCGCGTTGATCAGATGGATCAGCAGAGATTTGCAGTATCGGGTCTTGGAAAGCGGAGATAGGTGGAGTAACATAGCAGCCGGGTTAGCCGTTAAAGAAATCCCTGTGAGTTGTTTGCCAAAACGATTTTGTAACCCGTTTCCTGGACAGAACTGGCCACCGAAGCTCTATGTGCGAAATGTAGCATATAGTTCTTTTTTTCCGGAGTAAAGGTAATCGCTAGATCCCTCTCACATTTTGGCAAAAAGACAGGTTCAGGTCGATCGAATAAACAGGTCAGAAGAGCATAGGCTTTGGACAGCCCATGCTCAATATACTCTCCCGCTAAGCAGAACTCCTCAAAAGGTGTTAAGTCCGAGTGTGGAGGAGAGTACCTCATAAATCTAGAGAGGTAATGGCGTAGTTGTAAAGCCTGCCATCTCAAGTGGGGAGGCGTCACCAGGCCAGCCAATGACTGCAGGCACATAAAATCCTGGAAAGGCCTAAAAGTTGGGTCACCTATTACTGGAGTCATTAGAGACGGAGATGTACCAGTAGAGAGCATTCCGGGCGCCGATTTGATGACACGGACCTTGGTAGCCGTAAGCGGCTGTTGAATTACCTCCCTAGGGAGGGGTTGTGCCATCCACAACAGGCCTATTGCAGTTGTAGCCACCGTTTATCAGAAGAAACATTACACCACCCAAATGCCCGTGCCATATGTACAGCTAGATGGTGTCGGAGGGGGTCTGGAAACCCAATCCCTCCCCAGGGATTTAGGCAGCGCTAGAAGAGATTTATTCAGCATATGTGCTCCATTCGCCCACAAAAAGGACACAAACTCCCTCCGCACTGATTTCAGGAACAACATCAGGACATGCACCGGCAGGGTTTGTAGTAGGTAAAGTAACTGCGGAAGAATATTCATTTTAAGTACACTGTTCCTCCCAAACCACGAAAGCGTGCGTCAAGACCATTTGGCAAGATCACGGCAACTGGCCGAGAGAAACGGTAGAAAATTGGCCTTGAATACTTTATCAATGGATGAAGGTAGTTTCGTCCATGGGTAAGTAATATGAGTGTATGACCAGTGAAAGGAAAAGGCCGACTGTAGGCCTGCAAAGGCGGATAGAGAAACTGAAAGGTTCAAAGCCTTGGCATTCTCTAGGTTTATTTTGAAGTTTGATATTGCATCATAGGCCTTAAGTTCACCCATCAAATTCGGGAGCGAAAGAGTGGGCTTAGTCAGTATGAACAAAAGGTCATCCGCGTAACCCACAATTTTGTGAGTCCTGAGGCCTTGTAAAAGTCCAGAGATGTCAGAATTAGCTCTAATTCTGCAGAGTAACGGCTCCAGCGACTAAAAAAGAGCAAGGGAGAGAGTGGGCATTCCTGCCTGGGACCATTCCATAGTGAGAAGTAGTCAGAGTATGTCCCATTTACTCACACCCGGGCCGTGGGTACAGAGTAGATGGCAGAGATCCACCTGCAGAAGTTATCCCCCAAGCGTTGAATGGAGGAACAACCAATCCACTCGGTTGAACGCTTTTTCTGCGTCAGTGGACAATAGGATGGTGGGGATATTTTTCTCTTTAGTGTCTCTCCTCTTCTACCTGCCGGTGATCTCTACTGTGCATACGCCCGCACTCATCCTGCTGCATGGCCGCTCGAGAAGCTACAGATCTACAGCCGCAAACGAGCGGCAGAGACAGAGGCAAGTTTTGACCTGTTTGGTAACTTTTTTTTATTTTGCTTGCCTGCAGTAGCTATATGTAAAGACAAAAAAAGGAGACTTTAATACCACTTTAAGCAGTGCAGCTTGTTTCAGGAATCGCCCCACACTGAGGAAGTGGTCACTTTGTTCACGGTCATCTTTCAGCAATCGTTTAGGGCCAGTTGATAACAGCAGCTGCATTAGCAAGCAGGCACTAGTGTGCGCTGTGCCAGGAGCGGTGCCAATGTGCTGAAAACAGTACATCACACTGAACTTTTTTTTTGTCCACTTATTATTTACATGTGACAAAGTGACATTCAATTTGGTTTTATGCACTGTAATGTGGCGTAGTTTAGCACAACAGGTTGGTGTTGGCGCACACATAACTGCAACATGATAGTGTAAACTGGCTTTATTGTAAACAAGAGATTTTGCCATGTCTATGCGTTATCACTATGCTTGACAAGCTTACCCAACACAGCCTAATGCATGCTGGTCTGAACGGGCACTTAGGGTTACAGGAGTGCACAGTGCAGTGGAACCCTTTTTGCTGTGCAAGGTAATACAGGGTGCTGAAATAAAAGCACATTTTACTGGTTACACTAGCTATATTTGGAAACTAAAATCTAGTTTTACCTACCAAGGGATTTGGATTTATGTTCAGCCATTTTCTGAGATTTAGACCACCCTGCCAGCAATTACAACCAGGATGTGAATGCTGCGATACAGGGAATTACAGGAGCCCGATACCAAGTTCATATCAAATGGCCTTTCTCTTAAAAGTGATGAAAACTAACAACCTATGTAGCACATTCAATATCTTTCCTGGAAGCGATTGTTATATTAAACAGATAGTGGACCTCACAGTATATTGCATGTTCAACCAAAATCTTTTATTAGCAAAACAAGGGATTTTCAGGTGCCCATATGCTAGATCATTCATTGGGTAAGAGTGACAATACCAGTACACACAAGAATTAAAGAACCAATAGAGGAAACTTCCTTAACCCCTTCGTGACGGGAGACGTACAGTGTACGTCCCGTCACAAAGTGGCTATATGACTGGCCACGTACACTGTACGTGCCGAGTTAACCATTTGGCATGCACCTCTTTCCTCTTGTAGCACCTTGTAGTCTTGTAAACTTCTGTATTCTTCTGAGGGCAGCTGGGTCAGTATTGGAGGGACCCATTGGGTCCTTTCCACAGCTGTTCTGATGATATCACTGCTACTTTACAAGGTAATAATGGAGTTTGCAGAAGCATTTGGTGCACACAAAGTGTATTTACTATCCTTTGCGGCTACTAAATATAATTTGAATTTTGTGCTTCGAGTTCAGCTTTAGCGCTTTTACACAGATAACTGCAATGATAGCCAATGGATGTAAATGGGTGGAACATGACTGAACATTTTTGCACCAACCTCGAATGCACATTTGCTGGGGTGAAAGTAAATAAGATTTACGGGCACTTATACTGATCTGTGGGAAAATGTTCAAATAG